TCTTTTTAGTTCTAATATTTTTTTCAATATAGCCTGTTTTATTTTCTTTATAGACCATCATATTATCTGAATGAAGAGAGTTTATCTTTTCTTGTTCCCTATGGTGACAATGGAGATGCCATAGAGTCACTCATGGAGCCTGTGGTTTCTTGACCCAATTTCCTGTCATGTATCCTTATCTTCCCGCCCCATCGTTCCCTCACGGAAGGCCCATCATCAGGGAGTGGTCAGCTTTTGTTCCATTTATTTATTTATGTATTTATTTATTTATTTTTATTTTTATCGTTAGTTTCAGGTGTACAGAACATTCCAATAGTTATCCTTTTCACCCTTCACACAGAAACAACCGCCCTCTTCTGTCTTGTTAGCTTTTGTTTCTTTTTAGCCTCTTTAACAAGCCAGTTTGTGTGTCTAGGGAAGGGCGTTCTTTCTCAGTCTGGCTCCTAGTGTCAAGCAGAGATCCTGGTTCTGGCTCCACCCACTTCTCTCGCCCTATGTGGATCCCTTTGCGTTTCCCTGACCCTGCAGAAGCCTCATCCCAGCATCCTCTGCCTCCTTTCAGACCTGGAGCCCAAGAGGCCCATGTCTTCAGTCCCATTTGTTGCTTTGCATTCCGGGTCCATAGAAAAGTTTAGATTTGGGGCAAACTGTCTTTTTGTATTTCTCTTTTATATTTCAAAACCCATTGCTTTGTATCTAGAGCTGAGCAAGTGCCTCACACGGTGATGTCCAACAATGCTACCCTGACCAGAAATCGTAATTCCAAATGTCTATTGTGTAAAGAGTTACAGAACTATTATAACTTCTGTCACTGCTCATACTTCACGTAGTAATTATCATCCAATAACAGTGTTACTCAGGATTTTCTCCATGTCTTGCAGCTCCTCATGCTTTGTAAATGCTACAGCATCTGTGTTTGTCATCTGAGTAGTGGAGAATGGAGGTAAATACTGTTTTCCCTACACCTGAGAAAACTGAATCTACTTGCTTAAATTGTGGCCGAGAATAACCAGGCAGAACCACGACACTGAGAGTTCCTCAGAGGTAGGGCTGTGTCTCACTCATCCTGTGCCTCTTACGAAATGAAAGTTTTTGAGCTGACCACACCAAACTCTAGGCCCATGCCTCGCTTTACTCCATAGGATGTCCCAGGCGTCAAGGAGACCTGTAATGAGGTCATCACAATCTATGCAATGTTGTGACTTGAGGAAGAGCAAGGAAAGATGGAAGATGAATAAGAGCTGCAAGAGTTGATTTTAAGCAAAGTGAGTGGGGAAGGAATTGTCACTGGCATTTCATCCAGAATGTGAATTATGATTGAGATTTAGAATTTTTTCATTCTAATCCCCTTATATAAACTAGCTTAGTATGTAAATAGAATCAAAATGACACTCATTAAAATTGCAAAACTTATTAAAATATGTAAAACAGCCAGCTGCAGCAATAGTGACTAAGAAGTGATTATTAATTATTTTGTTCAATAAATATTTACTGAGTTCCTACTATGTGCCAGCACTGTGTAGAAAGTTGGGGTACAAAGGTAGATGACACAGGTCTCTGTGCAGCTAACCATCTAGTTGGGGCACCTGATGGGCAAATAAATAATCCAAATATGATGGGATAAGCTCCTTAAAAGAGTGTTAGTTGAAAGAGACATTTCTGCACCCATGTTCACAGCAGCCTTATTCACGATAGCAAAGAGTTGGAAGCAACCCAAGTGTCCATCAACAGAGGAAAGGATAAACAAACCGTGGCATGTGCATACAATGGAATATTATTCATCCTTAAAAAGGAAGGATGTTCCAACATGGATGAGACTTAAGGATATACTAAGTGAAGTAAGCCAGTCACAGAAAGACAAATACTATACAATTCCACTTATATGAGGAATCTAAAGTAATCAAATTCATAGAAACAGCAAGAATTGTGGTTGTTAGGGCCCGTGGGGAGGGGGGCATGTAATTGTTCAATGGGCATAGAGTTTTAGTTTTACAAAATGGAAAATTTCCAGAAATTGGTGGCACACAGTATAAACATACTTAACACTATTGGATTATACGCTTACAAATGGTTAAGATGGTCAGTTTTATATGTAATTTACCACAATTTTTTAAAAAATTAAAAAAAAAAAGTGTTAGCTTCATGAGGCTAGGCTCCTAACTATTTTGTTCACTTTTGAATTTCCAGCGTCTAAAAGAATGTTTGATACGTAGTGGGCACTTGACGAACATTTGACTTTCCTTTGGCTTCTCGTTCCCATCCGACATCCTACACGACACAGCAGAGGCCAAGTCCTCTGGAAGCTGATTCAGCAAACAAGGCGTTTCTCTGGTCAGAGCCCAGAAGGGGAAGAATTTCAAATATTTGTGATTTGATATTTGTCCCGATCATACCAACTACCCTTTCCTTCTTAAATACGCTTCTTGGAGCTTTTTCGGCATTTAAATTTCCTGAAGATAGGTCATTGTTTCCACTACTTAAAATGCAGTTGTGATGGACTTCATTAAGAAAAAAAAAAATGTGGAAGGAAGTCTGTGAAATGAAATCATTATTAGGCCAGGGTACAAATGGCTCTGGGGCCATGCAGGGTGCAGGGTACAAGGAGGAAGGATAAGGTAATTAGCACATATTTGCAGCTTTGCAGCCTGTTTTCCACTGGCTCAGTCTGATTCTCGTTGCTCGGTTCATTCTCTCGCGTTTGTGTTTTTCACTTGGTCCAAAACAGAGAGACCAAAAAAACCCCCAAAAAACCCAGAAGTTTCCTTGTACTTATTTCAGCCTTGCTACTTTTTTCCTTGTGTGTTTAGTTTCCTCGTGCCATACTTCTTCTACCCCGTCACCTGCTCGTTGGGCTTTTCCTGTTTTTCTCAATTCCCTTGCGTTCTGTAACCCTGGCTTGGTGTGGGGGACCCAGAAAGCACAGGTAAGTGAGCATTCAGTGACAGCACAAGCCTAGGGCCTGCCGAGGGCCGGAGGGGTCTGCACTGAGGCATTCCCGTACCTGGTCCAGGTACTGGGCAGGGCTCCTGCTGTTGGTTCTAGCTTGGGCTTGGCTCTGGATGTGCGCATTGCTAGAAGTGGAACAGAAGTGTCTTGCTCATGCTCCAAGGGAAGCCCTGAGGGGGGAAGGCATCAGAGTATCCTTCTCCTGTCTCCTGATGCTGGTATGTTGGGAGGGTCACTGCAGACCAAAGCCAACTGAAGGCCTCTTTGGAGATGGGGTCAATCATAGAATCCACCAAGGTTTCTAGGCCTGGAGATTTCATTCTGTTCCTTTTTCCAATTCACTTTTTTTTTTTTTTTTAAGCTGAGCCATCCCACCACCTGTTGGCAGCTCACGGCTGCTCAGCTCGGGCTGACTCGAACCGCTGTTGCTCAGAGCTCAAACTCTTGAGCGAGCTCTTAACCAACTGAGCCACTCAGCCGGCCCTTTGTTCCTTTTTAAATATAACACTTAAATAGTTCTTGCTGTGAAAGACACTGTCCTAAGTGCTTTTACATAGTAACTTATTTAACTTTTTAAATATTATATCTAATTCTTAAAACAACCCTGTGACCTGGAAACTACTATTGTCTGAATTATGTGGATGAAGAAACTGAGGCCCAGGGAGGTTAAGTGACTTGCTCAAGGTCACACAGCTAATAAATGGCAGTGCCAGGATCTGAACCCAGACAGCCTGGCTCCTGAGTCCATGCTTTTAACTATACGATGCTGCCTCTTTGGTTCATGTACCGTCCCCCCAGGATTTCCTTTGGAGATCTCATGTTTCATTTTACAACATATCTTTGCCAAGGTATAACACCCTCTAGTAGATTCTGGGCAATACGTGTATCCCTCTGAAATTTCTGTGAAGCTCTTGGGATATCTGCTAACAGTCATGCGCTCATAGGCTCCATCCTGCAGAAGCTATCAGAGTCCGGCCTTCTGTCTCCGGGGATCAGGGCACAAGACAGCAATTTCTACTCATACAAACTTTAAGAAAAAAAACCTTTCAGCATACGTTCAATAAAAATAAAGTGTCACGCTATGCTGTATTGCTCCTGTGAAGTATGCCCTCCCCCTCCAGCCCCCCCCCACCTGCAACATCACCCCGGGATCTGTCCCCAGTCAGGGCGAGTTTGCACACAGCCGTCTCCACCCAGGCCCTTGTGAACAGCATCATGAATTTTTTAGATGGTTGGCTGGACTTGGGAGTGCAGCTCAGAACTGTAGGACAGCTCTTCCTGTGAAAGGAGCAAACTGGTCTGGAGAGAAGCCCATGACCTTGGCCTCTTTGCCCTGGAAAACCATGGCCGTGGCCCTGGATATCTGCAAACCCTCTGACCTTCCCTGGCTCCCTCTGGCTGTGCCCCAAGTAGCCTTCCCTGGTTAGAGCTGGGTGAGCAGAAAAGAAAGCTTCACAGGAGTTAGGCTGAGCTTGGCTTTCTGTTGCCTACAAGGACTCTTGACTTATGTTGAGGCGCTCCTGGGTCTCGTTGTTGTGCAGAGATTGGTCTCTGGCCATTTCCATGACGCTTGCCAGCCTCCTGCTCATAATTCCCAAGGCCTCTGCCCGTTCTCCATCACTGAGATGCTTGTTCTTGACCTGGATCTTCCTGCCACGGGGCCCAAGTTCACATCTGACTGGAACTGGTAAACAGTGAATTCCTGCGAAGAAATTAGCTGGTAACATCTGAGGCATGGGCTCTCTATAGAAGGCATGTGCATCTTAATAGGGAAACTGAAAACCAAAAAGTTAGAAAACTCAAAAGGAGTAAGTATCTAGGCGTAGAATTCAGGTGCTTTTACATAGAGAGATATGGGGGTGGGGTGTCCTCTAGATCTCCCCACATTTGTATATGCATCTAAAACTGGCCCTAGTGTCAATGTCAGGACCACGGACATCCTCAAATCCAGAATAAAACATTCAGTTTGGAGCAACAGCTCGCTC